TTTTGCCTTTATACTTTTAGTTACTTCGTATTCCTTTTGTTTGATCTGTTAACATGTGGGCTCTAAGGATTTGTATTTCACGCGATGGGTTTTGTCATTAAAGGATTACATCCAACTAGTTTCACACATTGTCTAAATCATAATATGGTTCATACCCGGTTAAAATCGTATTGTCTAGTCAGAGTGTGAAGATGATTTAGTTTCTGATATTAGCATCATTATTCTATAAATCATGTCTGCTATTTCAGCTTTTTCTACTACTCCCTCATAGCTGGGTGAGGCATACTTCTTGCGTGTGAGTGTGAAATTTTGGGTTCACAGCTATTAGACAGAGAATTGGGAATTATTTGAGTCTCTCTTGGTGGCCTCCTCTTGTGGGCTGTCCTTCTTTTTAAGAAATTTTCCGGTTGAAATACCTCCCACCTCTTTTTGCTTCCTACGTAATAGCAATTGCCTTCCATACGCTTTTGGTTCACGCTAGGTTACATGCGATGAAGGATGGATTGTTGGGTATACGTCACGTTTTACCGAATTTAACTTCGTCTAGCCTACCGAAAGGCTACCACATCCATGCCTCACCGCCTCATCAATATTTCCAACGGTAATGCAACTGGGGTAAATTGCTGCGTACATTTTCGACGGGTGACTATGCCAATTCGAAGGGAATAGGCGAGATCCACGAAAGGTCACTGCAACCCTACTTTGTGAGATTGTCTGGCGGAAAGTGGTTTAAAGTAACCTTGTGATTACCATTTGGTGACGAGGTTGGCATGAGTTTATTTTTAGATGTTGGCTTTTAAGACTACCAGTAGATATTATATATATATATATATATAAGATGTATTCATGCTATTTCGCTAAGAATGAATTTTCCTACAGTGATATGAGTGTACATGACTGTTCCATTGAATTTTACCTAGCCTTGTTTTCCCAAAATATTATTCTCGAGTGGATTGCAGTTTCGACCTCGCCTAGGTCTTATCAACACTCCCGGTAGGACTCGAACCTAAGGCAACACCCCGGCAAGGCCGAAACTGAAGTCCACTCCTGCCTCGATGAGAATATACTTGGGAATCAGGGCTGTGAAATTCGATGGAAATGTAGGATCTATTCATTCGAATATGGGAAAATTCAACTACCAGTCTCCTTACCCTAAACGAAATAGGTTGAGTCTATCCTGCACATATGATCTGCTGGTAGTCTCGAAAGCCTACTTATAAACAGAAACAAGTAATGTGGCCAATTGATATAGCAAATATAGCTTTCCTTCATCGACAATCTCACCACATAATGTTATATGGGAAAATGTCTCTCCTTCCTTGAAATTCACATTTGCCCTGTGATCCAAAAGCATTCGTGTCAGTGTGTAATTGAGCGACAAACGTTTCGAGATTATACGCTGCTGTGCCGTGGCTCGAGTCTCGCTGGGGGTGCTGATGAGACAAGTTCGAGTTGGGTCAAAAATGCAGTCCACTCTAGCCTTGCTGAGAATATGTTTTGGGAAGCAATGCTATGCGAAATGTAATGGAAATGTAAGGTAGATTAAAGTAGTCTTGCCATTGCGGCCACCACACGTTTACGTGGTTTTAACGGCCTACTGAGCCTGTGCTCACTCTTCCTTAGTTCCGATTAGCTTCTGTGCCTTAGTCTCCATGACTAATCCGTCATCACTACTCACCCTCACGACGTCGCAACCGTCATCACCAGCGCGGCCAGCGACAACAGAACCAGCCCCAACCAACAAAGTCTATCCTCCTGCGCCAATCGCGGAAGCAGTCCAATGCATTACTCATCCCTCATTTCCGCCCCAGCGTCGGCTTATTTGCTTCGTTCCACTTTCTCCGCCATCGTCACCATCTCATTTACTCTGCCCCCATCATCATCTGGCATTGTGGGTACTCACAGACAAACAAACCTGCGCACATATACGCCGGCACACCTCATCGTCTCCATCACCTGTCACTCTAGCCTAAGGGCTCGGCCTCACATGCAAGTCACCACGTCGTGCCTACGACTCTCTTATCGCCATGGTGCACTATTCATTGACGGAAAAAACTTGTTTAAAATGAGTCAGCTGCCTTCTCCTCTTTTCTCTGTCTGCCTCAATTTTACATGCCTCGCCTGTGCCAACTCTAGCCCGTCTCTTAGGCATCTTGCCTTTCTGTTGGCCTCCCAACCAACGGACGAACGAGGCAGGGCTGTGCAGTTGGATGGGCCATTGTTCGCGGATTGGCCTATTAGAGATGGCCTCTTTTGGGAAGCCCGATTGACTGGAAAAGCTCCTCTCCCGCGACCTCGGTAACCTGGACGGATCGACCGTTTACCCGTCCTCTTCCACCCCACGCTTCAACCGACTTCTGCTGACTCACGACGCCCGACCGATGGCAGTCTTGTGAACTTTTCCGATGCACTCTTCCAAGTCCCTGTCTGTGTTGCCAACGCGTCTGGCAACACGTGCGCTTGGCTGCTTCGACAGAGGCGCCATTTTTCACTTTGATGCTGTATCAGGAACCTGTTCGGTGCCTCGAGCATGTGACGCCCATGTGCCTATTCTAGTTGTTCCAGTCAAAGTTACTACAA